AGCCCCTTGCTCAACAGGTTCAACTACCACTGTGGTGGCGCAGTGGTTAGAGTGCAGGCTACTTCTGCTGACTGCCAGCTTCCTGCAGTTTAACAGTTCGAATCTCACCAGGTTCAAGGTTCAGCCTTCCAGCCTTGTGAGGTGGGTAAAACGAGGAGGACCCAGATTGCTGGGGACAAATATGCTGACTCTGTAAACCGCTTAGAGAGGGCTGTAAAACACTGTGAAGCAATATATAAGTTTAAGGGCTATTGCTCTTCCTTTTCCTCTTCCTTCCTTCCTTCCTTCCTTCCTTCCTTCCTTCCTTCCTTCCTTCCTTCCTTCCTTCCTTCCTTCCTCAAGGTTGACTCAGCCTTCCATCCTTCCAAGGTGGGTAAAATGAGGACCAAGATTGCTGGGGACAAATATGCTGATTCTGTAAACCACTTAGAGAGGTCTGTGAAGCACAGTGAAGTGGTACATAAGTCTAAGTGCTATTGCTCACCTGGACAAAGCATCCATCCTTCAACCAAAACTGCTGTGTTGTCCAGACTGTGGTTTAGTTTATTGGCCTTCATGCAGGCTGTTGCTATTCCTGGGCACTGATTCATCACTTCCATCAGCTCGCACGAATCTGATGAAAAAGAAAAATAGAACTACGTGTCATTGGCTTTACTTGGAGATAAATGGTTTGTGCATGTTAAGAGAAATGAATGGATAGCAATAGTTGTATTCTTGGCACTGTTCATTAATTTCTGTTCTCAAGCCAGACTTGGGATGAGCCTGTACTAGAATTCAGTGGGTCCCATTAAACCCTTTGGGGGAGGCTTTTTTTCCCCCCATGCTTACCATGTTCTTAGGAAAAGAGATGACTCCCATCTTCAGTTATAAATGAAAATCCTATATATGACTTCAGATTAGACACCATGACTTATTAGCCTCTGCTGCTGCAGAAAGCTTCATATTTACTCTTCTGCAGAAATCAGTTGAACTGGGTCATTTATGTCTCTGAGGTCACACACACACACACACAGGTTGCTTATTCAACTCACTACAGATGGAACGTGCCAGATGCCTGTTCCGAATACAATTACAAAAATGATGACACCATCATCCCCTTGTTGTTATAAAAATGGTTTGTCTTTGGCATGGCGTGATCAGTAGTAAGGTAAATGCTAATGCACAAACACCTCAGGCATATGGGGCCTGGGAAAACTGGCAGGATGTACTTGGGCCGATCTGGGTGGGACGATTCATTCCAAGATAATTAAATAAGCAGGTGATTACAGTTTGGTGAAGACTGACTTTATCTGCACCCAAGGTAAATTTATAGCTTTAATTTGCCTTTAACTTAAAATATAACTTCCCAACTTTAATACATCACTCGTCTTCAATAAATCTGCCATGATTATATGTGGGCCTTGTATGATTTTTTTTTTCCTAAAAGTAATCTAAGAGTCTAAGGAAACCCTAAGTAAATCACTGAGCTTAATGTTTGTCATATATATAAAATATCTCTCCCTCCATATTTCAGCTTGTGGCCTCAGACCTGCATGAACAGGATGCACAAAAATAACTGTATTAATGCTATGGGCTAGAGAAATCCATATGGCTATTAAAAATTCATCATTAGCATTTGCTATGGTGGAGTCAAGTGGGAGGAAATCCGTAACTGACAAGGAATTAGTCATCATAATTTAAGGAAATGTAAACGCACTGAAGGCTGAGCTTCTTGGCTAAATACACAAGCAGACTGGAGTGTGTAGGAGACTTCAAGAAATAGTAATTAAGGACCATGGTGGGCCAATTCCTCCACACCTTTTT